GAGGTCTGGATCTACCATGTCTGAATATATATTATCAAGCTGCAACAATGGCTAATGTCATGCGGATGTTGGATAATGGTCCTGTAACAAGCTGGATGCAGGTAGAACAATCTTCCATCTCTCCACTTAGATTGCAAGAACTACTCTGGATGCCACCATCCCACCTCCCGACCCAGGTATGAAATAATTGTTTTTAAATGCCACTCTAAAAGTTTGGGACTCTAGAAAAGCACATCTAATCCTAAAGATCTCCCAATTGTCATCTTACACTAACCAACCTTAGTTTCCTCTGGGCACAGAATCAGGAACTTTTAGGGATTGGACTGTAGGTGGTCTAACACGCCTTCTGGATCTAGTTAAACAAGGGAAAATATGAGATAAAATCCATTTTGAAGAACTGATTATAAAACATATTCCCTGGTTCCACTATCTGCAATTAAAGAACTTGACGGAACGTCTAGCTGAAGCAGATACTTTCACAAGACCAAAAACGGAGTTTGAGACTCTCCTGACTATATATGATCCCTCAATTAAAGGACTGCTTTCCAAAATGTATAAGATTCTTTTATCTGCTGAAGGTTCTCAATCCATACCTTGCCAAAAAATGTCGAGAGCGGATCTCCAAATGGATTTACAGCATTCACATTGGCTCAACATCTGGAACTCTCCTGCAGATTTCTCAAGAGTTTATAACATCCGGATGAACTCATTCAAAATCATCAACAGATGGTACCTCACACCAAAAAAGCTGAATCACATGTAGATATGACCCTTTGTGCTGGAAGAAATGAGGCTCTATCGGCATATACCTCCACTACTGGTGGGAATGCCCATTCATCCAACAATTCTGGCAGGAAGTCATATCCGAAATCAATAAAATTACAAGGCAATCGCTCCCAGCCACACCACAACTCTTACTTCTAAATCTTTGGGACTCCTCCTCCTGGGATGATTTGCACAAAAATCTTACCTCTATCCTTCTTGGAGCAGCCAGACTCACAATTGTAACAACCTGGAAATCATCTTCACCTCCGAGTCTGTCATTCTGGTACGACAAGATCTGGGATCAATTTGTGATGAACAAGATTTCTAATATTTTGGATCGGGTACAACATAGCTTCACTAAGATTTACAACAAATTTGTACTTACCTGGAACCCGGTGCTCTGTTTTATGGCAGAGCAAGACTTGCTCCCCTCCAAGCTGAGTTGCCACAATTGGCTTAACTTTTGATCACACCCTTTGTTCTGTCTCTCTGCCAGGATTCCTTTAGTTGATCAGAGCTGCAGATACCTGATGTCATTAAATTTCAGGATGGAATAAGTCTATAGGGATTTGGAGGTAAAAAATCACTTTGGTTTCTGATAACTGACTTTGTAGCCTACCTTATACCCACTTTAATCTTTTTGACTGTTGGATTGTTGTTGTTGGACACTTGTTTGTGATTTATTTGCTGGTATGAAATATGTATCCTTGACATCTTTTTTTGTGTGTGCTGTTATTCTGATTGTTGTTCTTGATTCCAATAAAGTTTCTCGAAACTCGAAGAAAAAAAAAAGGATTGCATTGTGAATCTTCAACTGGGCTGTGTCAATCTGGAAAGTTCTTTTTGGTTTGAAAGAAAAATTCACACACATGTGCAGATATACTTTTCCTCTCCACTGTACAATACCTATGGTCTGAGTGTCAACACTGGCAGAGAATCTTATTGTTCAGACTTCTTTGTTGGCACTTATGTAACATCTGCTCTCTGTACTCCATATCTTCCTTTACAGTCTTCTTAGCTCAAGCATTAGAAAGTAGTAGTCAAGTGAAATTATTTGAGTCTATAAGGTCACTTCTTAAAGCAACATGCAATGTTTTTGCTTCTAAGAGTCATACAGAAACACAGTACTTTTCTGTTGAGAAAACCTGAGAGTTTACCTAAAAGATGTGGAACTCAGCCCCCTCCACTTTTATCATCTTGATCTTGGAAACAACCATATTGCCTTAACTTGTTACCCCACTGCTTTTAATCTCTTCCAGCTCTAGGAGCTGTGCCAAATAGGAGAGGGGTCAAATACAATGTGAGGAGGGACAGAGGGAGGGCCTTCAGCATGATCAACCCAGATGTGGCCCAACCACATCTTAGGCTTTGCTTGGTACTTCCAGTTATTCCTCAGAGTGGCTCTGAAAGTGAAAAGCACATGAGATTACGCAGAGCAGTCTCTGAGTTACAATACTACATATACAATGTATTGCAATTTAACTATTCAAAAATGTAATATTCCTGGAATAAAAGTGCAACCAGGAGGAAAAAATATAGCCTACATGCTGCAAACACATTTTTATTTTTCATTTTTAAGTGTACAGAAACATCCTCATAATTCATAGCTGTGCATGCAGCAAAGATAACTTCATACATCAGCACAGGAACACATAGATGCATGTGTGAGTTCAAAACAGAGAGTGAATGAAATGAAGCAGCTGCAATGTTAATAAGGCCTACAGGCAAATTTAATAGAAATAAGATATTCCTCTCAACTGATTTATATATAACTAGGAATAAGGCCCGTTGTGGAAATAAATACAATGAGCTCTAGAAAGAGGCTCTGGGCAGGTGCCCTGGCTTTGGGCACTCAGCTTTAATTTGCTGTGGCGACCTCAGCAGGGTATAATGACACAGAGCTTACTGTTTTCTCCAGGGGAACTGATCTCTGCCAGCTGGAGAGCAGTTTTAATTCTGAGTGATCTCCACCCCTCACCTGGAGATTGGCAGCAATGGTTCCCCAGGAGGAAAAGTAGTCTTTCTCTGCAGTGGAGACCAAAGTAGCTTACATCATTCTCCTCTCCCCCTTTTGATCTGCACAACAACACTGTGAGGTAGGTTAGGCCAAAAGTCCGTGACTGGTCCAAAATCAACCACTCAACTTCCACAGCAAAAACCTGGGTCTAGCAGACCCTGCTCTGAAGTGCTAAGCCAACCTCCAGGTGGAGCCTGAAGATCACCGGGTATCACAACTGAACTCCAGACAACAGATCTCTCCCCCCCCCAAAGAAAATAACTGCTTTGGAGGGTGGGCTCTATGGCATTCTATTCAGTTGAGGCCTCTCCCCTCCACAAACTTTGGTTTCTGTAGACTCCATCACAAAGTATCCAGGAATTTCCCAACCTGGAGCTGGTAACCCTAGTCAGGATTGGCCCCAATGAGTTCCCCACAAAGGCCTGAAAAGGGCTTCCTTCCTTTGCCTTTTTACTGATAGAACCAAGCTTGATTGCCTAGCAACAGCTACTGAGGGAAAAGTTAGTCCCGCAGGAGCCAAGCAGGAGAAGTGTCTTCGTCAGGAGAGACAGCCGTTTTGATAGTTTATTCTGTGAGGGAAGAGTGTCCAAGCTGGCAGTGGGCGGGGGAGAGGAATGGACCCAGTACCCAGCCAATGGCACGCGAGAACTCTTGAGTGGTGGTTGATGGGCCAATGGCTGATGCAGCACACTGCACAGCCAATGGGAGAGCTGGAAATGACCAATACGTAAGGGAATTATATATATAGGATATCATCTGCAGGATACTTGCAGTTATGCTTTTTATCAATAAGAGAAACTGCTTTATGAAGTTGACAATATCTCTTTCAAGGCCACATTCAAGGATGTGGTAATTGGTTAATTGTGAGAACCTGTCTTCAGCCGTGTAACTGGATGGGAGAGGGGAAGTAGGAGTGGTTGTCAACATCTTCCAGAGAGTTCCATCAAATGACCTCCCTTATGGGTTCAGGAGACTACCTCGTGCCAGATGGGAAGGCCAAAGGAAAGCCATGCTAACATTACAATTTCACCATATTCACCATACCCTTGCTGTTCATGCTACATTGCAATTGTCAGCTACGTAGAGAATGCTTAAGCCTCTAGCTTGGAGTCTTGTATTAAGGTGTGCCATCTAATACCAGGTATTAAATGTATTAGATCGAAAGTTAGTTTTGTTGTTTTCTTTACTGCTAAACAGTGCTGCATAGTAATATCTTGTTTTTTAAAGTCTATTCAATAGTCCTTTATATATTTTTATGATTTATTTGTGTACATTTAACCTTGAGGTGGCTCAAGTGGTTAAGACGCTGAACTGCAGGCTGTGGAAGGTCAGCAGTTCAGCAGTTCGAGACCCGGGTGCCGCATGATGGAGTGAGCTCCCATCTCTAGTTCCAGCTCCTGCCAACCTAGCAGTTCGAAAGCAAGACATTGCAAGTAGATAAATAGGTACCACTTCAGTGGGAAGGTAACAGCATTCCGTGCGCCTTGGTGTTTAGTCATGCCAGCCACATGACCACAGAAAAGTCTTCGGACAGCACTGGCTCTTTGGCTTTGAAACGGAGATGAGCACCGCAACCCTAGAGTCGGATTCGACTGGCTTTCGAGCAAGGGAACCTTTACCTTTAACCTTGAGGACCCTTGAAAAAGGAGTGGTGACCCAGAGGGATCCAAGCTTGGGTTCTTGATGCCACCAGTTAAAATACTTCTCATAAGCCCTGCTCTCTGTGGACCCACCCGTAGGTACTCAGGCAGGCACTAACCAGAATTGCTGCTTCTATCATGCCTGTGGAATGTCCTTCCCCTCGAGGGTCACCTAGCTCCACCTCTACTCTCTTTTGGGTGCCAGGCCAAAACATTTCTTACCCAGGCTTTTAATGAAGAAGTTGATCTTTTAAATATTGTGTTTGTGGCTTGCTCTAGCCTGAGGACTGTCTTCTGCTGTTTAATGGCACGTTTTTATGCTCTGGCTTGTTTTTAACGGACTGTTTTAATGGCTGTATGGTTGTCTCGTAGTGTTTAAGTTATAAGCTGCTCCAAGCAGGTTTGTGAAAAGGTGACAATTTCCCCCCCCAGGGTAAGACATTTTTGGCTATCATACCAAATGAATATGTAGACTAAATCATGATAAGATACAGAGAATAATTTGTCCAAAGCTTTAAAAAGATACTCTCTCTTTTGTGTGTGTGTATTTTTAATTTTTATTTACTTTTTGCTCACAGCATGCAAGAGCCAAGCAGGACGGAATGTGAAGAGCAATGTGTGCAAGTGGTGTGATAATACCTACCCAGTATGTGAAGACCAAGTGTGCTACAGCAACTGTGACTTAAGCTCCTATTGTGAGAAACCAGAAGAGATTTGTGTCTCCATATGGTAAGCAGAAAAAGGAGCAGTGCCCCCTAATGGTTGATAAACGATCAATAAAATAATTTGTTGTTGTTGTTCAGTCGCACAGTCGAGTCCGACTCTTCGCGACCCCATGGACAAGATCCCGCCAGGCCCTCCTGTCCTCCGCCATTGGCTCAACTTCATGTTCGTTGCATCGATGACACTGTCTAACCATCTCATCCTTTGCCGTCCCCGTCTACTTTGACCTTCAATCTTTCCCAGCATCAGGGTCTTCTACAGTGAGTGCTCCCTTCTCATTTGGTGGCCAAAGTATTTGAGCTTCAGTTTCATTATCTGGCCTTCCAGGAACAGTCAGGGTTGATTTTCCTTTGGGATTGACTGATTTTATCTTCTTGCAGTCCAAGGGACTCTCAAGAGTCTTCTCCAGCACCATAGTTCAAAAGAATCTATTCTTCGGCGCTCGTCCTTCCTTATAGTCCAACTCTCGCAGCCATACATGACTACTGGGAATACCATTACTTTGACCATGCAGACTTTTGTTGGCAGGGTGATGTCTCTACTTTTTATCATGCTGGTTAGGTTCGCCATCGCTTTCCTCCCAAGGAGCAGGCGTCTTTTAATTTCATGGCTGCTGTCACAGTCTGCGGTGATCTGGGATCCCAGGAACGTGAAGTCTGTCACTACTTTCACAACTTCCCCTTCTATTTGACAAGGAGTGATGGGGCCAGATGCCATGATCTTAGTTTTTTTTATGTTGAGCTTCAAGCCCACTTTTGCGCTCTCCTCTTTTACTTTGAGCAAGAGGCTCTTTAGGTCCTCTTCACTTTCTGCCATTAGAGTGGTATCGTCTGCATATCTGAGGTTGTTGATCTTTTCCCCAGCAATTTTAATTCCCGCTTGTGATTCATCCAGGCCAGCATTTCGCATGATGTACTCTGCATATATATTAAATAAG